CCCACACACACACACAGACGGGGGGGGGAGGCGTCTCCGCGCCCCGTCCCATCCGGGCTCCCCTCCCTCCGACCTACCCCAGGCTGGTGATGCCGCAACACGCTGGCTGTTGGTGCCGCCGCCTCCGCTGTGCCAGCGGCGCGCGCCTCCCGGGTCAGCCTTCCAACGCCCAGCGCCGCGTTCCATTCGCCCCGGGGAAGCCAGCGCGCGACGGCCCGGGCAGGAGAAGGGGGCGGGGGGGGGCTCCTTCCCTGCTAGGCTCGACTCTTCCCCCGCTCGGCCTCCCCCCCAACCCGCGCTTCAGGGGGAAGGGGCGGAGAAACCAGGAAGTGAGTGAGCGACGCACCAGGCTCGGCCGCGCCGTCTCCCTCCGCCCTCCCAGCGCCGGAACGCCTCCCTCCTGCCCCGGAGAGAGCAACCCAGGTCGAGGCGGGCGTGCCCGCCGCTCCTGCGGCAACTGGAGAGGCGCTGTTCGCCAGGGGCTCCTGCTGCTGGCCGAGCTGCGCTTCCGGGCTCCCTTCCATCGGGGCTGCGGCGGGGAGGGGGCTGGCCGGCCGGCCGTGTGGGGCGAAGGGCCGCTTTTTTGCCGCGCCAGTCTTTTCTGTTGGGACACCAAGAGGTCATCGTGCCTCGCGCGCTGAACGACTAAGCAAGCAAACACACACAGAATGCCCATGTTCCTACCCGGATTCATTTGATATAACAACGCCCATTCATTTCCTTTGGAGATACCGCCAAGTAATGTGGCTGACCACTGTCGGTAACGGGATGCTGTGCTGGCAGTACGGTCAGAACCGGAGTTACACCCTTCTAAACTAGTTGAAGTCAATGGGCCTCAAAGGACCGCAACTGCAAAGCTGCAAGCCTCTGGCACGCTTACCTGAGAGTAAGGCGCTGAACACAGTCTTACAAAAGTAAGACATGTCGGTTTGTGCTGCACATACAACTGCTGCCTTCATATTTGTAACTAACAGCGGTATAAGGTGTGCAGCTGTCTAGTCGGATTAACAGAGGAAGGGGGCGCTTCTGAATACCCTTCTGAAAAGGGCCTAACAGTCCTAATAACAATTTCCTGAGAGTAAGCCCAAGAAGATTCTGAGTAAACCTGCTTAGGATTGTTCTCTATAATGCCAGTAACAATGACATTATTAAAATAGTTACTTAAAGCTAAATGTACACATGCATGTAAAAGCATCAGCCCTGACTTGAACAACCCGGAATCCTTATTTGAAATACCAGCTCACTTAATAGAACTATGTAGTGTTTGGAATGCAACATTATTGCGTGTGGATGGAAGGAGTTTTACTACACTACAAAATTATTTTGAAAAATATACCCAGTGAATGAGAGCATTACAAGTGTATTCAAAACCCTCTTTCACCGTTATAGATAAAAGCTACAATCCTATGCACACTTAATTGGAAGATTTATTTCTGATTTACCAGTTTAGGAGTGAAGTGCAAAAAGAATGTCACTAATCAGAAGTCAACTGCCTCTATATTCACGGCTCTTTCACGTGGTGCTGTCAAAAAGCATCTACCTCCATCATCAGGCGTCTATGCACAGATTATCCATAATTTGTACTAGGCGCTGGTTTATGCTTAACGGATACTCGCCTGGTTTTCTTTCAAAGGCCCAAGATGCAAAATTTCTCGCTTTAGCTGTGGACCTTTGCTTAATATGTACTGACTTCTTCCAGTGTGGCAAGTATGGTATCTAGAATGTGAACTGGTACCACCTACTATAGTCTCTGTTGTAAGGAAGTCTTTCTCATGGGAACCAACATACTTCAAGCACACCACACAAGGTAGGCTGCAATTCTGGGAGTAAATCCCTTTTGCGCTCAGGAGGAGACTTTACTTCGGAGTAAACGTGCACAGGATCGGCCTCTTCGGCTGCCATTCTCTGCATCTGAGTTCCAGCCCGGTTAGAGTTAACGGTGACTTACTTCTGAACTCAGCATAGAGGCTGCTGCTGCTCCATGCCGCTTGTTTTTCCTCTCCCGATCTAGCAGCAGCGCTCCTCTCGTCCAGAAAACAGCTGCGCTGGTTTTGCAACGCTGGAGATTCCCCAGCCAGTCCGCCCTCCCCCCGAACGGACACCTCCCAGCGCCGAGCATCCCCTTTCCCCCGCGAATGACGCAGAAGCAGCCGAAAGCATGAATCACGCCGTGGGAAGGCGCGAGGACGCTTCGCCTACGCGCCTGCTAGGGAAAAGGGAAAGCAGAGAGTACAGGAAGGAAGCCCGTGACGCAATTAAGGGCGCGCCGTAGAAACGGGCGGGGCTGGGAGAGCGCGCCGGACCTCACGGTGTAGCTTGGCCTTCTTTTACAAACGTCATCGGTGTTTTGGACGGTCTGAGCTTGCACGAGTCGTCATGGCGTCCGTGGTGCTGAGCGAAGCGGAGAAAGTGTACATTATGCACGGTGTCCAGGTGAGCAGTCACCTGGCGTTTTTAAGATGCTGCGCTGTGAATTGTCCTCCCTGGAGGCAACATTTAATCTGGGATCGACTGTTGTGGGAGGTCCTCTAAGAAGAAGGTGTACTTGATGATGTACAAGGTGCTTTTTGTTCTTCACCACTCAGAGCTGGCTCACATGTTCTTTTCTTTTTGGCTATCTCTCCCCCCCCCCCTGCTGTCAAATGCTGACTTGCATATGCATCTACCGCTAAAGGTAGAGCTTTTGACATGTCACTTCAGAGGCAGTGTTTCACTGGAGACAGTTCCCACGTTCAGCTGCAAAGTGATCAAGAACTATGTACATAGAGGTGTAAACAATTCTGAATACCTCAAGCCAGCCTCTCTATCTCTGAGATGGTGGAAATAAGATTTCCAGGCAGGCTAGAGCTGTAGCAGTTGATAGGGGGTGGCTGGATTGCTGTTTCTGGGAATAATGGCAGTGATTCTGCATTGTATTTCTCAACAGCAGAACAGTGAACAGAATTTCAGTATGGAAGCTTCCTCTATTGCTCTGTATCCTTGAAGAGAAGCTTGCATGGTTGAATGTCTGCACTGTTGTGCATTTATTAAAGATATTTGAGGCCTGAGTAGTATTATTCCCGGTTCACATAATGGTGTGACATCAAGGCAGTGCAATTTTTTCCCTTTTTTATGTTTTGGCATTATGTACTCTCATGACTGTCTTTCTGCCCTTTAACTTGGGCTTGCCTATGCCACATTCTCACTGTCTCACCCTGAAGAGCTCCTTTATTGTTGCCCTTGCTGCTGGGCCACTGACAGTCTAACATGAAGGCAAGAGCAGGTGAAGCTTTTCTGGGCCAGGAGAGAAGAGTCACTGGCTTCATTTCCACTCATTGGGCCATTGTAAAAGCTCAGGAAGGCAGCATAGCCTTGGAACAGTAGTGAAACCCCCGATTGCTCTATTCATTGCACATTTAAGTAGTCTCCGTTACAGTATCTGTGCTTCCATCTGTAGCAGTGGGACACTTACAAGCTAGGCATTGAGAGAGGACAGAGTAACTGGTGTGGTGTGCAGGCTAGACTAAGTAAATCATGACTGGATAATCTGCAGAGGTGGTCATTGTGATGGTTTTTGTTTAGGAGGATCTTCGTGTTGATGGCCGTGGCTGTGAAGACTATAGATGTATTGAAGTGGAAACAGATGTTGTATCTAATACAAGTGGTTCTGCTCGAGTGAAACTAGTAAGTACATTTAAGCAACGAGTTAAGACAAACAATGCAGGTTCTTTGAAGGAAGTGAACAGTCAGAGCATTTGGGATTAAAAATGCAGGCTGAGGGACAGGGAAGGGGCTGAATCAGGGAGGGAGGCTAAGAAGTGGGAAGCTGAATGGGAGGCAGGCTGAAGAGATTGCAGATGCAAGCAGAGGGTACAGAAGGTTGTGGGGGCGGGGTGAGGAAAGCAGGTGCTACCTGAGATGGAGAGCCTGGGAGAAACTGCAGTGCTGGCAAGTAGCCAGAGTTAGAAGTAGGAGTGTCATGAGGTGGCACAAAATTGAAGAATTCAGAAAGGTGAGCTGAAGGAAAGGCTCATACAGGGTTATGGAGAACTGTATGCTGTTGGCCAGAAGGAAGCGGTGGAAATAAAGGCCTGTATGCCAAGATAGTCAAGGAGTTAATTGAGGACAGAAAAATTCATGGATGAAGGAGGGGAGCTAACTTGCATGTGTTCAACTGCTTTAACTGACAGCTGTTTACTGAGAACACAATAATAAAACCAGTCTGCAAGCCCCACTTGTGCGTATGCGTGAAGTGGATGGAAGAAATTCTTGGGTGGGTTCAGAATTTCAAATGTGGAAGTTCTGCACAGAGTAAACCTGGACAAGTGAAATTTGCTGTTAAATTTTAAAAATTAAAAGTATTATTTAGGAGGTATTGTGTGGACTGGAGATACAGCAGAATCTGCTTAAAAGCCCTGCAACTGTACTAGGTTACTGTGCTGAACAGCAGATCTTCACAGTGTTAATAACTTAGTCCACTGAACATAAGTAGATAATTGACAACGCTGGTCTGTATAAATCTGTACAGGATCCTGTTATTAGTTGGTCAATGGGGACTTCAAAGTTTTCATGTCATCTTTTGAAAGCTGTTGACTTCTCTCTTTTTTTAGGAGATGAATACTGGGGAATGTATGTTGGTGCGATCAAATGATTGGAAAATATTTCTAGCTGAGTTCTGTATTTTAACAGGGACACACAGATATCCTGGTTGGAGTAAAAGCAGAAATGGGAACTCCTAAGCTAGATAGACCAAATGAAGGCTACTTGGAATTCTTTGTAGATTGGTGAGTAAAAATCAATTATATTGGGGTGGATCCAACTATCCTCCAAATAACCTTCCACCGGTTTCAGTAGCTCTTCCTCCAATGGAAGAGCCACCTAATTTAGAGGAGGGCTTCGGACTTGAGCCAAAAGGAAATATTACGAAAACCTGGTTTCTGTAATCGATATTAAGTTTGCACTTTCTGTGTTATTTTACTTCTGGATTTGGGGATCCCAAACAATGAGCCATCAAAGTTACGCAGTGAGCTAATGTGACGGCCTTTTCTTTCCCGCATCTATTCATATTGTTTCTTCCCTTTAGTTGTGACTAGCATTCTGCCTTTTCTTTCACTGATCTTGGACAGCCTTGTTAGGCTAGCTGAGAGTCAGTGTGGTGTAGAGGTCAAGAGCGGTTTGATTCCCCACTCCTCCACATGGAGCCTGCCGGTTGACCTTGGGCCAGTCACAGTTCCGTCAGAACTCTCTCAGCCCCAACTACCTCACAGGGTGTCTGTTGCAGGGACAGAAGAAGAAAAGTTGGGTTTTATACCCCACTTTT